CACTTGTAAAAAACAGCTGAAGACCCTTTTATTTAAAGCTGCTTTTACCTAAATCCTTAATTTTCTTATTTTTAACTAAAATTTTTAATCTTTAATCTGTTTATGAAATTTTAGATCATTATGATTTTATGACTTAATGTTTTATTTTGTTTTGATCTATGTGAAGCACTTTAAGATTCCATGTCTGTGATAAAAGTGCTATAGAAATAAAATGTACATACTTAACTAGATAAAAGTCTAAGAAAAATCAGTTTTCAATAGAACAAAAGCACCAAAAAGCAGTAAATCACAAGACAAATGTACACAAAAAGTGAAATGCCCAAACCTTAATCATTATTTCCATTTTACTCTGGTTTTATACGTACGCAAACTGAAGTTTTGGTAATTAAACACGATAAAATCAAAGAACAATTATTTTTTTCTTATCGTCTTGAGAACGAAGAAACAGCTGTCTGTTGAATTATCTATAGGATGACTTGGGTCTATAAATCACTCCTGTCAGTGCAACCCACTTGGTTTTACAAATAAAACACAAAGATGTCGCCATCGACACGTATGGATACCAGATCATTTGGACCTTCTCCTGGAGTGGAACAAGTGATATTGATCCTGGACTGCGCTGAAGAGCAGCACACTGCAGAGGGCCGAAGCAGCACTGTAGCCTCTACAAGCCCTTTTATACAGCAGCCATCGTGATCGATATAATCTTTAGAGTATTTTTCTGTGCAGGGAAAATGCCTCTGCAGTGCCTCTTTGGAGCAAAATAAAGTGCTTGCTCTATAACAAATCATTTAGTTCACTTGGTAGTTTTACGTAGCAGCTTTTCTGTCCTTCTAATGAAAGTTCTTTTAAAATACTAGACTCAGTAAGCATAACAGCTTATTCCTGTTTATTTAGATTAACATGCATAAGGCATCCATCAATGAAACACTGAAAAGGATTTGTGTGCACCAAACACTCCAGAGTCCTCATTATTCAGCCGTACTTTTGAACTTTTACACATTGTTTGGTATTTACCATTTTGTGCCTAGAAATGTTCCTAAACAGCTCAGGTCGTGCATTCAAACAGCATCTAGTGGTAGAACAGGGCAACCGCAAAACTTCTCACCCATCCACACTTGTTCTTTACAAATCATTTTTACCCAAAGAGCAATCATGTCAGTTGAGAAACTGGTGGTGTCAGAACTTCTAAACGACACCTGTGACCAACATAGCATGGCTGATCTGGCTCTATTAGAAGATTTAGCAGAGCATACGCTATGGAGGGAACCGATCCTCCGTGAACACACTGATCTGCTTGGTGAGAATACAGCGTTGCTCCTGAGCAGATCACAGAAACATTTCCAAATAAGAACGAAACTAACTCCTAACAGAACATGCGTACAATTCCCTAAATGTAAACTGTAAATGACAACAGAATGGAACGATAAGGCTGTTGGCTCCCGGTTTGCTTTAGAATAGATTTCAAGATTATCGTACCAACTTGTAAAGCAATGCATAAACAGGGTCCTTTTTGTTTAACAGAGTTGTTGCGGCCCAATGTTCCTTCCAGATCGATACGGTTGGGTGACGATAAGCTTCAGGCTGTTCCAAGCCTTTGGTGTTTTACCCAATAAGTTGTGGAAACGTCTCCTACAACAAACCAGGAAGTCTACCTCTGTTGTTAGTTTTAAATTCTCCTGTTTATATTCATTGGTTCTTACAGCTTTTTGCTGTATTGTTCTGTGTTATGTCATGTTTGTAAGGTTTTTATGGTGTTCAGCTCTTCGGACAACACACCTTGTGCAAATGTGCCATAGAAATAAAGCTGAGTTAAGTGACTTTTTTCATATTCAGTTTTATGTCGAATCATTTTTTCTTCATTTCCAGCAGGCCACTGTTTTACTAGTTACCTCTGAGCTGAGCGAACTTTATCCATCAGTGTCTCAATCTTGCGGTCACTGATGATTCTTTTATGTTTTGGCAGAGATTTCCCTCATGTGACCAAATATGGTTAATTGTGGGCGTTTCTGTATGTAAATGAGTCATGCATGAGGGATTTATCAACTGTCAATTGCACAGGAATGTGCGTACGAGTGACCACTGCGTGTTTCATAAATCAGGATTTTGGCCGTTCATTCAAACATTCCAATTTTCTTTCGTAGGATGGACAACATGACAGTTTCTACCAGTGTTTGATAAGTGAAGGCCCAGGAACGTTCGACTTAGAACCCTGAAGAGCAATGAAAACATAAAACACTACGCTTTTGTTTGGAGTCATTGGAGCATTCAGTTTCACACCATTGGCTTTTCCTCATCACACTGTTTCCTTGTGGAGTGAAGTATGTTTTCTTGTTTACAACCTCAGAGCAGTTTTGTGTATTTGGTGCATTTGGGTTAAAAGAATGCAGCGTTTTGTGTTTCACTGTTTTCACAGCAGTTTTGGCCAGAGTAACAAAATATCTGAAGAGTTATCTGGTGTTTGTAATTTCACCGTGGTATGAGGGAACCTCACTTCCTCTAAATAATCTATCCTGACACCAACCACCCGTGCTACCTCCACCTGAACACATGACCACCCTTTTAGAGCACTGTTGATAAGAGCCAGGGGAAAAGCTGTGAAAATGAAGACGTTTCTTCTGATTTCACACTCTGCGCTTGATCGTTAGGCTCTTATTATGCCCCATTTGCTTCCCTTCACTAGCTGTGATGAAAGGAGGGCCAAAAGGCCACGACAGGATAAAAAGGGGCCCTTCATCAAAACACATTTTGTTTGGGGTCTTTTTTTTTTTCCATCCAGCTCCTCCACCCGCCCCCCCAGCGCGCGTCCACCCCACCCCCACCTCACTGCCAACACTTTTTTTCTGGGGTTCCCTCCGGTCCACATCCCTCATTAGTAGCAACCCCCACCTGTCTCTGCATTCATTTTATTAAACTGTGATTGTTCACCGCTCTGTGCTCGGCAGAACCGGCTGCGCGCTCTTGTTTAATTGGCCCACAGCTTCCCAACTGCTCCTCAACAAGTGGGAAGGTCAATGGCTGTTCATGACCTGGGATGATGATGTCTGTCAGTGCTGGGCAAAAGACGTTTGCCCTCATACACACATATCTTGCTGTCACAATGACTCCCTCATCTTAAAGCCACCTTTAGACAATTTTTTGAAATAACTTTAAACATCCGTGCATTATTTAAATGTGTAGTTTTTACCATTAATCTCTGGAAATATCCATTGATATCACCACTTGGCCATCCATTAGTAAGGTCTTACTCGAACACTAAACTACTGCTTGCTTGCAATGATTTATGCATGTGCTGCCTCCTATTGCCAGGGAAAATACACACCGTCACTTTAAAGGTTCATCAGTTTTCTGGATTAACTTCTAGCCAGAATTCAAAGATGTATTTAAGCATATTTAATAAGATAAATTTTAGTATCCTTTTTGAAGACAGACCTAAATGAATGAACAAAAATAAATCCATTTTTTTTCCTTGTTATAATTTTGATTGCTCTTGGCGGCTCGTCAGACCGTTCTGTTAAGGTTCACCGTTGGATCAGTCGGGGTCAAACCAAGCATCACACTTGCTGTGATTATTTGGGACATGGGATTTAAGAAGCAAAGCTCTGCTAATTAGTCAGAGTGTTTGACAGAATGCGTGTTTGTATCAAGAGGGGTGACTTTCTTCTCCCAACCCGTCCAAATCTGTCAAACTCCGCACTAAGTGGGCACTAATTTGAGAAATTATATCAGATGTGAAGTGAAGAGTGAAGGAGGGAGGCAGTGGAGCTTGCACCAGATGCAAAGTTATTCAGGAGGGTGAGAAGAGATTTTTTTTTGTCTGGCTGAGAAGTTGAGGTAGAGGTCGTGACCTGTGGCGGTTGCTGGAGAGAACCGTGGATTGATTCATGGCCAAGGGGCTGGCAAAGCAAAGGTTCCACTCCGACTTTAAAGCCCACAAATTGCCATGAAGTACATGGTCTTTGAAGTGGAGCACCTTGTACAAAGAGCTACATTAGTCCCTTGATTATTCTTTATCCTTATGTAATGTGATTATGTCAGTTTAGTGAGAGTTTGATTGTGGAAAATTCCCATCTAAATTTCCTCGGTGCTTCTCTGCGGTGAAAGGAATTGTCACTCCAGCATCGGTAACTCATTACAAAGCCTGTTTGGAGAATGTTGTGTTACCAATAAACAAGTAGGACACACGTCATATAAACAAAAGCATTTCTGTTGTGCTCAGGTTACTCCACGTCTTCTCTCTTACGTTTTCTCACAGAAACTGTATATCAGTTGTTTCCTCATCGACAGGAAAGATGAGCTAAACATCACATCTAACAGCTTTTATGAACTTTAACATGACAAAATGCATATCAGTTACCTTTTTATGAGATGCTTAAAAAAGTCATAATAAATACAAGTTCTACCACATGATTGCACTGAACTGCATTTTACAAGAACTAAATAAAAGTAGCGTATTCATTCCTGCAGCCAAACAGGCCTCCTGTTACTAAAAAATCCCAAATGGTGAACGTTAATGTGACGTTTTCCAATAAAAGAAATCAGACTAGAGTTGCCGGTAGTGTTCAAGGTAAGGTTATACTCGTGTTACCGAAGTGCAGCCATGAGAAATTGGAGGACTTACTGGAAAGGCTAGAAGTACCTAATGCATCTTTATAAAGAGTTATTAGAGATAGTAGTCTACTTAACACCATGTGATTAATTCAATCAAAATGCTACCCTGACTTGATTACTGGCATTCATCAGCGTATTAAGTGGCTGTGAAAACATACGTGTAATTGGCAGAAAAATGCTTTCACTGAGTCTTCATGACTAGTTTACATTATTGAGAAGGACACAGCTCATTTACTGCTTCATACTTCAGTTCTTCTCAGTGGCATGAATCAGAGTAACCGTGTGTCTAGTATTACATTAAAATCAGAGTGAAAGTCAGAAACATTTTATTTAAATTTCTACATGAAACAAAAAAGTTGAATAAATATTTTTTCTGTGTCTGCCAACAGTGGGAGGAGGTGAGTGGGTACGACGAAACCATGAACACCATCAGGACCTATCAGGTGTGTAATGTTTTCGACAGCAACCAGAACAACTGGGTACGGACAAAATACATCCGGCGCCGTGGTGCGCAGAGGATCCATGTGGAGATGAAGTTCTCAGTAAGGGACTGCAGTAGCATCCCGAACGTGCCAGGTTCCTGCAAAGAAACCTTTAATCTGTATTACTATGAATCAGACTCCGACACAGCCACCAGAACATCTCCTCCGTGGATGGAGAACCCCTGGATTAAGGTGGACACCATTGCAGCAGATGAGAGCTTCTCCCAGGTGGACCTCGGCGGCAGAGTGATGAAGATCAACACGGAGGTCAGAAGCTTTGGCCCTGTGTCCAAAAACGGCTTCTATTTAGCCTTTCAGGACTATGGGGGCTGCATGTCTCTCATCGCAGTGCGAGTCTTTTACCGGAAGTGTCCTCGAATCATCACTAATGGAGCGTTGTTCCAGGAGACACTTTCAGGAGCAGAGAGCACCTCGCTGGTAGCGGCGAGGGGTGTTTGTATCCCGAATGCAGAGGAGGTGGATGTGCCCATTAAGCTTTACTGCAACGGAGAGGGAGAATGGATGGTTCCCATTGGGCGTTGCATGTGCAAACCTGGGAACGAGGCTGTGGAGAATGGAACTGTTTGCCGAGGTATGTGTGGTGTTATGTCTTCATCAAAGAGATTCGTAAATCTTATTTGTACAAAAGGCTGATTTCTGAATACAGTTCATATAGTTTAATTTTGCATATGGTCATGTATGATGACGATAAAAATATAAAATTGGTTCATGGATTTAAGCAGAAATAATTGATTTGTTTTAACATATTTTGATGAACCTGTTATTTTCAATATAAATTTATCATGAAATACCGAATTTTAGTTGACGATTTCTTTGTCAAAAAACACAGAAATACTTTAAGAAGAGGTAACTGCAGTTTGGGTTGTTCTGAGCATTACTTATTGGTGTACTATAGTTAGAATTTTTACTTGTTGTTGACAGACTTTTGTAGAGGTAGAACATTCTACTTTTACTTTACTTTTTCTACATTCTACTTTTGTACAACATTCATTCTGTAATTTACTTGCAGAAATGCACCAATAGCAAATCTGCAAAACAAGCTAGGTTTTTAAACACAAACACGATCATGGAACTCTCACCCCTCCTGTCAACTATCATCGCTAGGCCACGTCCACCTTATGTCAGAGCGCGCGTTGCCAGAGGAAACGAGATAGCACTAAACACCAGTCACCGTTTTCTACATCCAAACGCCTTTTGTTGTCCGTGACTTCAAATGGTGTTTTTCTTCTTGGGACTCTGGTAGTTTCTCCTAAAGCTGAAGTGGTAGCAGCCGGCTGTTTCTCCTTCTCTGGTATTACTGAGCAGAGAACCTCTCACACCAATGGTGTTCTGTTGCTAAATATGTGTCTGCGTAATAAATGGAGGACCCAGGTAAGTGTGGAAATGCAGACTGGGGCTCGCTCAACCTCCTCACTAATATTTAGAGCTATACTATAGGGCTGGGCAATAAATCAAAAAATTATCGTTATCAAAATTTCGGACTCTTTTTGAGATAATTGTTCCCGTGTCAATAAATGTGATAATAAAATAATGAAATGATGTGTGTAGGTTGGCAGCAGTCATGTCCGTTTAAGAAGCTGTACCACCTTGAGTCTCGTAAAATTTGAGTCAGCGCATGTGACAGCCCCACCTAGTGGACAAATATTGTTGCTGCGCATACCTGTAGTTATCGTCCATTTACCGTTATTGAGGTGAAATCCTCAATATATTGTAATATTGATTTTAGGCCGTATCGCCCAGCCTTAGTGTACGATGATAGAACATTGTTAGAAAAGTTTGAAGCTAGCTATTTTTGCGGATTTTGCTATTGTAGCTTTAAAGCTGCTTTCTGGAGTTTTCCCCTTTCAGAAATGATGTATGATTTTTCAGAAATCCGTAAAAGCGATTATCTCATCATAAGAGATGATAAGAGATACACTCCAGAAAGAAGCTTTAAGTCTTGAAAATAAAGTGACCTAAAACATTTAGGTCACACAGAAGTATTTTTGTGCAAGTTTGACAAAGTTCAGTATGTTGCAGCTGAACAGGGGAACCGGTTCGATCCCCAGAACCCACAGGTCACATTCTGAAGCATTACTGGGCAAGATACCGATGCACATGGCAGTCCGCTGCTCCCCAGGGATGGGTCAAGTGCAGAGAATAATTTTGCCAAGAGGATGAATAAAGTATAAATTAACACAGAAGCTAAAAAACAAAAGAAGGAGAGCTAATTTAAGTAAAAAATGCATTTTAATTAGGTTTTGATGGAAGACCTTGCTCCATCTACCAGGACAAAGAGAATATTTTCTAAATTGCAAAGATTTTTCTGTGGATTTAAATTACTCAAAGCCAAATTGGCGTTTTAAGCCGTCGATGCACCAACACTTTACCTGTGCTAAGCTCTCTCCACTCGCTGGCAGGTGGCTTTTGGTTATTGTGGTTAGAGATCTTGATCACTCGGCACAGCATGACAGCACACAGCCTGCAGACTGGTGTCGTGCTGATCCAGCCCAGTGCCACAAACCACCCACCTGCGTTTTGGATCTGAGTTTTATTTTTTTATTTTCTGCCTTTCATATGTGCCTGTAATTACAGCACATCCCCCAGTGTCTGTATGTTGGGAGGGGAAATGTGACGGGTGCTGCCTCACAAACACTGCCGGCTCTGTTCAATGACTACAAATGAGCACAGGCGCGAGCTTCACCATCAGAAATACAGGCCAGTGTGAGGCACCTCCAGATAGCAGCTTGGACCCAGCGAGCATCACCACACCCACACCTTTGCTCCGTGTATGTGATTTATTGCACACAGTGGATTTAAACATCCCACGGGTGTTCTTAGTTATGGTGCTTTTTTTGGGAGGGGGAAGGATACTTGGATTATAAAACAAGGGGATGTTCCTTTAGGGAAAGCGTGTTGATCCTCTTTGTATACTCAAGGCGTGGCATGAGACTTTTTGATTACAATAATCTTAAAAATGATAAATCATAGTATAATTTCATCCATTGTTTCTTACCTCCAAGATGTGTAATTCTCCCTAATTGCTATTCATTGGTTTTCACAGTCAAGGTTAATTTATTCATTGCACTTTTTGATGCCGACTTCTCTTTCTTCTGTCAGATTGAATCAGTCAAACTCAGACACAGACATATTTTTTAGGTTTCTTTTCATTTGAATTATTTCATAATATTCAGTAATTAAAGCGTAGTAACTGTTTGTCCAAAAGCTGAGAGCACAAGCCTGGGATTTTTATCAACAGCAAACACTGAAAAACCTTTTTTAATGATAATCTCTGATTCTAACAGGTCACTCTGAGTGTTTCATGCAGGCTAAACATGAGAATAGTCTCCTACACCTATCTCCTGCATTAGCTTCTGATAGAAAACAGCCGGTGAAACTCTAGGATTAGAAAATCCTGACAGATCTACGTCACACTGTCACTAACATTCATGGACTCACCCATCTGGACTCATGATGAGGAAGGCTGTTGTTGTTTTAGCGTCCAGGGAACAGCAGAGAACGTCTCAGCTAGTAGAAGCTAACTGCAACTGCACCCCACATCAGGACTCAGGAATTAAATTGAAGCATAGGGAACCGGTTCACAACAAAAGACAGTTTTTGATTCCCACCCCTACTTGTGTTATATACATCAGCATTGCAAAGCAAACAGTCAGTGGTTGAGTCACGTTGGTGTTAGCCAATCAGAGGGGAGATGTCCAAATATCAGGAAATAAGAATCCTGCCTGGTTTAACTCTCCTCTGGTGTAGCATTCAGCTAGTTCCTGAAACAAGTTATCATGAGCTTCCCCTCATTCAGTCCTACTAGAGACCACTGAACATGTACTGATTAAATGAGTGTTCCACACTTTAAAAACTTCAGGACAAAAATGCAAAATAAGACACTTAAAAATGATTATATATTTCAGAATCAATGATAGTAGTGTGTGTGTGTGTGTGTGTGTGTGTGTGTGTGTGTGTGTGTGTGTGTGTGTGTGTGTGTGTGTGTGTGTGTGTGTGTGTGTGTGTGTGTGTGTGTGTGTGTGTTTTACCAGAGAAGAAAGAGAAGTGAGACACCCAGACACTTGAAACAGACTTTAGCTTTGTGGTTGTTCCATTGTAGAGAAGCTCGTTTTGATGGAAGGCTCAGATCGCCGGCTTTACAGTCATCTTCCTAAACACTGAAAACTGATATCAGCACTTGAAGTTGTGGTCAACCGCTGCTTTTCAGCTGGAAGAGGCGGGATCATAAATTGATTTGTGAAAGATGTGCCTTGCCTGCCGATATTATGGGGTAATGAATTGATTCATGAGACACGCCATCAAAGGGTTTGTAAGATATCTCCTTTCAAGACTGAATCACGATGCCACATCAACACCACGAAGTGCAACACTACTAGTGCTGTAATGTTAACAATAAAACCATTGCTCTGTTTAAGCATCTCCACAACTAAACGTGTATTTATGGACTTAACAATTAAACCCTTCACAGGATTCCTTGTAAATAATTATGCTGTCGTGAAATCTGTCAAAATATTGACAGCAGAAAGGGGGTGCTTACATCAAATTGCTGAGCTCTTTTTTCCTCTGCAATTGTCTTACAAGTGAGATTATGTTTCCTCTCTAAGAAGTGTTGTGAATGCAAGGAGCCGTACAAGGGCCTTTTAGCATAGATGCCCCCTAAAAGAGAGAGATCTAATTTCCCTTCAGAGCCTTGAGGAGATGGTGCACCACAGAAACACATCAGGTCTTGTCTGCCCTTGCCGTCCTATCCAGACTGAAAAGCAGTTTCTTTAGTGGGGCACAATGAGAGCCATGTTCATGGGTGGAAATGCAAACTTACTTAACAATACCCATGTGTGTCTTTCAATGTAATCTGATCATCTAACCCCATGCTTCTGCGAGTTCAAGGGTCTCGGCTGTGGGAGCGTGTCTCATGTTGTTGGGTAGTAAAAGTTTGGATAGAGACAATTTGTCACATCGATAACAACAACTTGATTTATTTCTTGGTTTTGTATCCAGTGTTGGTGGCCAGAGATGACAGAAATCAGCAACGCTTATGTGGCTTTATAGCTAGAGAAAAGAAGAGAACACTTTTGCACCGCATGACACAGGGTGTTGTTTTCTAAACATGGTGGTGTCTGACAGGAATAGGAGAAACTTCATTACGATGATTGTCATCCATCCATTTTCCTCCACTTCTCCGAGATCGGGTTGCAGGGGCAGTAGCCTAAACAGAGAGGCACAGGCTTCCCTCTCCTCAGCCACATGGGCCAGCTCATCCGGGGGAATCCCAAGGTGTTCCCTGGCCAGCCGAGAGACATAGTCCCTCCAGCGCATCTTGGTTTTCCTTTAGACCTTCTCCTGGTTGCACGTGCCCAGAAATCCTCACCCGGGAGGTGTCCAGGAGGTGCCTTGCTAGATGCCAGAGCCACCTAAACAGGCTCTTCTCCATGTGGAGGAGCTGCAGATCTACTCCGAGCCCCTTCCAGATGACCAAGCGTCTCGCCCTGTCTTTACGGGAGTGATCAATTATCTAGGATAATTGCAAAAAAATTCAATCACATGCATGTAACTTGTCTTTTTCACACCTTG